CGGACATCGATTCTGTGTTTGTGAGATCGGCGGTGACTGGTCATGGAACAGATTCTTTTGGCAGATTGAGCGCCACTGGAACTCTGCTGTGCCGTGCATGTACTGCGATGTCAAAAAATATGGTCGTAGGAGCTACGTGGAGATGCCCGTGCTGCCTTGGAAGACAACGGTCGAGTTTCTCACTCAACTTGTTGGCAGTGGCCTTTCACGACAGATCAACCCATTGGTCTTGCTGTGCAACTTCGATATCAGCTTGGTGGCTCCATGCCAACTTCACAACTTGAACTTGGGCCTGCTTTGGACCTTGAACGGAGCCTCCCTGGCAACGTTCGCAGAGATGGGGCTGTTTGGTGACGCAGCTTCTAGTCTTGCAAAGGTGTTGGAGTGTGCGTGGGACGACTTCCGCGTGTACTTGAAACAAGCAAAGCTGAGCTGCTCACAGTCAAAGTTTACAGTGAAGATGGTATTCAAACCGGGCCATGGCGCATATTGGAGCGCCAAGGGGTACAACTCACGTGTCCTGAGTGACTGGTTGGCTGATCGCGCCTTGCGCCTATGGGAGAGGAGGCTCAATGACCCCAATGATACCAGACTCTTTGGGAAATGGCTTTCTGGACAGCCTCACCTTTTGCATCGGGTGCTTGTTGATGAGCAAGTGGCCCCTGTTTGCTATGCATTGACGCTCGGCACCTTTGTTTGAAAGCACCTGCGTGTGTAAGCATGTGCCACCCCTTTCTCTAAACTTTGCACGCTTTGAAGCGCTGAGGATTTCCATGGCCCGATATCTTTCCTTGTCAGATCGCTTACCACGCTTCTTGCAACCCTGCTCAATTGAGTGGTGATGTGAGTTCAATCAACGCATGCCTTTGTGCACATGCCAGTGTGTTAACATGTGTGCACTAAATACAAATGCCCTTGCGATACACCATGCTGTTTCTAGCCCTGAGGAGTGAACCAGAGGCGACGGAGCTCTGCGAGTTGGGGTATGGATTTCTGAAAGCTCACCGGGCCATGACCCAACTCTCTCAAAGGACAGGTTTCAATCACCATGCAACCTAACAGTGCGGGCACACACAAGTTTTTGCCGAGTAGGGTTTGTTCATTGAGCTTGTCCTAATTGCAGGATGAACCGAAAAAGATGGCTTCTAAAGCCAAAATACCATGCCTCCTGGCTAAGCCCGGGGATGAATACTGTGCAATAGATCGGTTGGGTTTTTGGTGAAAAGAAAACTTTTGGAGACCAAGGCTTGGGAAGAGCAACTCAAACGCACCAAACTTTGGAGATCCTTGGCTGTGATTTCCCAAGCTCCTGCATATTGTTGTTATCCTTTGAGTTCTGCACAATATTTTTGAATGACTCTTTCCTTTCGGTGCATATGAGGATACAACCAGCGCTTCACCGCAGGGTGGATTGATGAGGATGCCATGGGACTTCTCAAGCGCATGGCAAAGAGAGCCAGTTCTAAACACTTCAGCGAATCGATCCTCAAAAGTGCAAATTTCCGGCTGTTAGCTTTGAAGTATCGAATCGAAGATTTGAACTCCCAAGCCAGAAAGCGGAAGCAGTGAGGGCATGAAGAAAAGGAGCTTCAAGCAGGGGGGTGAGGGGTCTTGAGAGGCCATATGGGACACTCGGCTCGTGGGTCACTCGGCAATGTTGAGGGACACTCGGCGCATGTACTTTTTAGGGCCCCCTCGGCGCCTTACTTTTTGAGGTCCCAGGACTTTGAGGGCAAATATTAAAGAAACTAGACCCAAAATCGACCATGTTGGTAGTTTAGTAGCGGTTTGAAAGGGCGGTAGTTTAAAAACAATTATAAACCGTATTTTTGATTTCGGACGTGGTGTTTTTTAATTGGGGAGGCTTTTTGAATAGGTACTCGGGATTACTTGACTCATTAGCGCGGCCAAGGCTTTGCAGATGCAGCCAGGGTGGCTCGGTACTTTGGCGAGGAGGCTCAAGTAAAGCGCAGCCAGAGCGTGCAGGCCTCCGATGCCAAACTTGCAGTGTCTGTGTGCGAGGCGTGCTGCTATGAAACACACGGACAGAAACCGCGTCGAAGCGCTTGACAGTGCCTTGTCCTCAGCTGGCCTGAGCAGAGGTGAGCTGAAATACCTTGGTGTGGACATCCATTGGCAGCTTTGGAAGAAGGAAAACAGCGCGACAGTAGAAGAAAAAATGCATTGCGCTTAGGCTGGAAGCAGTTCCTTGCAGTCGTCCGCAAACAATGCAAACTTGCAGTGAAAATTCAAAGATGACGAATGCGTGCGATCACTGCTGGCTTTGGAAGGCTTCAATAGTACCAGGCTTGGTCAAAGGCATCAAGCAGAGCAAGTGATGTCGGAAGAAGTCACGCCGAACTACTCTTCCGGGGCTACCCTTGCACTCGACGCTTCGGAGGACGCATTGATGCGAGTAGAAGCCTTCTACGCCTTTCTTAAGAGCCACGTTGACAAATTTGAACCACTGTGTCGCAAGTTGGCCGTCGCGAAGCAGTCAAAGCTCCATGATCTGGAGGCTAAGCTCTTGCGCAAGCTCAATCACGAGGTTCTGGTGTGTCAGTCGTATGCTTGGCGCATCTTCCTACAAACGCCAGGCAGAGACTTGTCTTGCACTTGTTGACAAGCTGCCTCCAGACGAAGTTTTGCTGGAGTGATTACAAACTGCAGAAATACAGCTTGCCACAGGCAAGCGTGGAGCTCAGCACTATGTGGTACGGGGGGTGACTGAATGGAGCTGTCTGTGTTTGGTTGCATGGTGATCATCCACATGGAAGGTTCTAAAAAGGTCCACAAAGTCTTTTTTCTGAAGCAAATAATTCAGAACACGGCTCTGATGAGTGGCCTGTTGCTTCAGAACTTCAGAAGCTTGGAGAGATGTTCGCAGGTCAAGCGCTGTTCCCTGCTGACGTTGTTGAGTGACGTCGGGCCACGCTTTCGGTCGTATGCGCTGGTATAGGTTGGGTGGCCCAAGAGATCTTTCCCAGTTGGAAAGGGCATCGTCCACTCCATGTTCGCCGTGATGGAGCGCTGGGTTCGAGAACGGCTGAAGAAGCCGAATGTTGTCATCTCAACCCCAGAGCGCTTAATGGACATTCTTTCCACCGCGGCGGCTACTACTGCGGCTGCTGCTGCTACGACAACAACAACAACAACTACTACTACTACTACTACTACTACTATGTTAAAAGCGTTCTTCTAGATCTCTGGGAAATTAGATGTCCCATATATGTGTCTGAAAGCTCTTGAAAGAAAAAACTTATTTATTGATATATAGCATGTTTAAATTGACATGACCATTTCCAGAGATCCAGAGGAAAGCTTTTGAAATGACAGCTTTTGTATAACTTTATTGTAGAAATGATCATCCCCAGAGATCTAGAGGGAAGCTCTTGAATTAGAAGCTTGCACTCCCAGAATAAGATGTAAAACGCTTGAGCTACAAGATGCACAAGTCGAGGAGGCTTCGAAATTACAAAGCCGAAGCAAAAGCAACAAGCATTGAATTAGAACTACAGCTTACACAGATTCATAACAATTTCATGTAAATTGGAAGGTGTCATTATAGTTTCATGTCAAGCTGGTTGGACATGCAATTGGCAACCACATTGATACCATTCAGAAGTTAAGGCGCAGACTTGTACATGGAGATTTCGACAAGGACAAAGGGAGTGTTGGGCTCAGACGCTTTCATTGTAAGAGCAAAGAACATATGCCTTTAGGTCGTTTAGGTGAGACTTAGGCTCACATACTTGAAGGTTGAACGAAATAGTAAGAACACAGATAGACCTAAATAGGAAAACAAAAAACAAAAAACCTTGAGAAAACCAATAACAACCTAGGAAAAGCCAAACAACTAAAAAAACCTAGGGAAAAACCAAAAACCACCACCAAAAACAAACAAAAAACACAATTCGGGGGAAGTCTTGAGGAAAGGGGGTCCAGCCAAGAGTCTCTCAGAATTGTTTTTTGTTTTTGTTTTCCCAAGTTTGTTTTGTTTTTTGTGTTTCTTCAGTGGGGGGCTCCAGCCAAGAGTCTCTCATATTTTTTGTTTTCCCAAGGTTTTTTTTTGGTTGTTTTCTTGTGTGTTTTTAATCCTTTATGTACATTCAGCAGTGTTTTTGTTGATTTTGACTGTGGCACTGAAGCTTTTACCCAAAAATGATGGACAACCAAAACGCAGGCCCCATGGCCACCCCTTCTGGATTACTACTATTAACTGCTACTACTATTGCTGCTGTACCACTACCACTGCCACTGCCGCTACCACCACCACTACCACTACCACTACCATCATCAATACCACTACTACTACTACTACCACCACTACTACGACTACTACGACTACTACTACCACCACCACTACCACTACCACTACAACCACTACTACTACTACTACCACTACTACCACTACTGCTTTTACTACTACTACTACTACTACCACTACTACTACTACTACTACTACTACTACTACCAGTACTACTACTACTACTGCTGCTGCTGCTGCTACTACTACTACTACCACTACCACTACTACTACCATTACTACTACTTCCACCACTACTACTACTGCTACTTTTTGCCATTTCCGGCTCTGGCGCGCCACTTTTTCTCGCCAATACCCAAACACTTAGAGCATTCAAAATATGCAAAACCCCTCATAGGCGCAAGAAGGCGCAAGGGCGAGCGCAAGAGCATTTCAGCATTGTTCTCTGCACCTAAAGTATAGAACGACTCCCATATCTTGGCGAATCAGTCAAGAAGATACAGAGTTTGTGTTACTCCCTCCATGCCGATGATTGTTGGTGTTCCAGTTCTTCAATCATTGGCCACCACTCTCAGACCCTGTAGACGTTCAAGCGGTCCATTGGTGTTTTCAGCATGGTGCTAGCGGTGGTGAAGAGGCTCTTCATGGCACTTTCACGCCCATCCTCCAGAACTGCAGCTGCCTAGCCTCGCGGCCGTGCGGTCATGCCTGCCGTATCCTGCCGTGCTCTCAGGACATGCCGAAAGCATGAGGTCCGTGCCACCCAATCGACCTGCTGCGGGGTGTGTCGAGACTGTCGAGGTGTTACGCGATGGAGTGATGTTTCCGGCATCCAAGGTGGAAAGAGATGTGTGAAAAATGTCGAGCAAACGCTTGGGGGCATTTTGGGGTTCCATAGTTTCATATTGAATCAAAATTGAGGGATATTGAGAGTCTTTAGCCTTCCTCACTTGAAGTTTGGGTTTCTGATAGTCTTGTGCAACCTGGATGAGGAATTTCCTCGAGTTTCCTCATTTCTAAAATGTTTGGATGGCATTCGGCCTGAGAGATGTTGCAGTTTTAGGGCCTTTGCTTACTCGGAGTTCCTGATACTTTGGGTAACACTGCCGGTCCCTGGTCTGAACGGCTAGTTCCTGACCTTCCAGGAAGGTGCCCGTCCCGGCCAAAGGGACATGAATCGCCCAAAGGTCCCAAAGCAGAGTGACAGTGAAGGTGAGTTCAGAGCCAACGGATCTACATGGATGTCTCTCCCACGGCAGTCAGATGTGACAAGTCTGTTGGGGTACATACAGTCTAAGATACAGTTTGCTCCTGCAGTGGAGCAAGGGATTTGGAACATGGAGTTGACGGAGGGTTGTGACCCCGTTGAGGTTTAGTAGCACATTCAGCGATACAAGAAGCCTTCGAACTCCCACAATCATGGAGAACTGCCCAAAGACGACGTTCTGAATGCCAATCTCGGGAGCGAACTCCACTTCCACGACTGTTGAAGGGAGTAAAGGGAGGGTCACCTCAAAAGGCAGACATCATTTCCCTGCAAATCCTCTCCGCTTTCGCCTCGGCTTTCTCCTTCGTCCAACCAAAACGAAGGCCGGCCTTCGACCAGTCTACGGAGGGCTTCTGAGCTCTACTGACCGGGGAAACGCTATGCAGAAGTGGCAAGGCTCCACAGGGGGGTGGTCTCCTCTCCACCAAGCGTCATCAGGTAGGGCGCTGCAGGAACAAACAAACTACTGTAGCTTTTGAGAATGTATACATTGCAATAGTTTATTTACAGCCGAGAATTCTCCCATTTTCAGCGTTTGCCTCATGTTTGTCATTATATATAGATTATAGATCGAATAGATCGAGTTTTCAGAATTTCATGACTGAACTTCTTCACATTCCAGCAACCTGTTCTCTAGATGGTTGCATCCTTAGAGGTCTCAACCGAGGAGGTTCCTGATTGCACGTATAGTGTGGGCGTCTATCACTCATCGACCTCCGCTTCTTTTTTCCGGGAGTTTCCTGTTGATTTGACATGATTTGACACATTACATGGTCAGCATTGGACATGACATGGCAAAGCTTTCTCCAACGCCATGAGCCCTATGTGGATGTCTTGCACTGCTGGTGGATGCATTACTGTGGTGCAGTGTGTCAGATTCACCATCAGAGCGGTGTCAGCCTGGTGGTCCAATGGCTGCGACTTCGGCTAGACCATTGCAGGCTTATGGGATTGGATGGCTTACCAGGAAAAAGTATATACCAGTTCTGTTTCAACCTTGCGCTGGGATGATTGAATGTCAAGGACTCATATTTATCAGGAGACTTCATGCTGGGTTTCAAGGAACACAAAGGTCAAAGTAAAACTCCTTGGGTTTCACACAGCAAGTGTTAATGTTTTCTGTTATCATGTTTGAGACCTCTTCATTCCGAAATCCGAGTGCATCCAAGAAACCTCTGAAATCAAAGGGGCCCCTTACGAGTCTAGCGCAAAAATCTGAAAAGGCCAACAGCTATAATTATAGGCATACTTTCTATATCTATAGTCGCTGGTGGATTTTGGGACAAGTTCTGCTGCCGAAACGTGCCATCCATTGGTGCCAGGTCCTGTGACCCGCTCGTGAATCGCCATCTCGTGAATCGGGGCCCCTCTCAACACTGGGCTCGCCCCATGTGCGAGCCCACCCAAACCGTCGCAAGGGGGGCAACCAAAAGAGCACCAGACCCGCTGAGGGCGAAGGGGCGGACCTGGCGAAGGGGCGGAAAGTGACAATGAAGATGACATGAAGAGGCACCTGGGGCACCTGGGGCTCCTAGGTGTCCAGTTCCTTTGGTCTTTTGGATCATCATTCCAGATTTACTTCCATGTCATATCCATAATGACACAAGTAGCCGGCCAGTTGAACGTGGGATCGAACTAAAAAGGTAAAGGGTTGTGTCCGTTCTTGACACCAGGATCTCCCATTCCTCGTGGACAACAAGTCTACGCGTGAGAATTGAAAGATGATCCAACAAGTTGCAGAGACCCGAAGAATTTGGTCCAAAGATGTCCCAATTGATCCGAAGAGTTTGAACCAGTTGCAGTGACTAGACCATACAAGACCTAACAAGTGAGGCTTCTTGCAACACTCGTCGGACTGCCCAGAAGGCTATGTGCATTTGTGGGATGCACTCTTGGAAACACCAAAGAGATCACCATTTGCTGGATGTCCATCCCCAGCCGAAGAAGATGAATTCCAGCACTGCTGGCCTCCCAGCTCAAGCTGTGCAAACTCAACTGGCCAGCAGAATCCCTAGATTGGGAAACTGGACTTGACGCCCCAAATTCTGAGCCTGAGCATTCAGTTTCTTACCCCAAACATACAAAAACACATCCAAACACAATTACATAGTTATACTATTGCGGGCCATGGGCCCATGTCAGTTTTGGGTAGCAGTAGCTTGCTGGCGATCTCACAAGCCCAAAAACGAGGATTCCCCACGACGAATGAAGAGAACTCTGGTAGTGTGGTACGGGCCTTGATTGGGCAAGTGTCCATGAAGAACCTATAAAAACCTTTGGTTGATCAATGTGGTGTTTTCTTGAAGCACATCCAGGACCGACCAACCAAACAACACACCTAAGAGCCGAGAGAATCTCTCTAGCTGTGTCAATGAGCACCTGGAACAACACACGTAAGAGCCGAGAGAATCTCTCCAGCTGTGTCGATGAGCACCTGGACCGCCTCGGCTTTCAAGCCATGGCTTGGACCCTTGATGGCCCTGAATGCAGAGGACCCGGAGCTGGACGCCACCGGCGTCGCGTGTCACGTGTGCGTGCGCGGGAACTGGGGGCACTCCCACCCAGTGCGTGACTCATTTAGAGCAGGGCGTTCCATCAATGTGTTCTCATGTTTTCTCACTGATTTTCAAGGTTTCATAGCGGATGCTCTCCATGATCGAAAATGGAACCAGATCACAGACCTCTTCTCCTAGTTCTGACCGAAACCTTCAATGAACATGGACAGTTCTCGTTCTTTTTTGCATGACATCTCAGCCAGTCGATCCCCTCCGAGCCGCCCCAGAGGAAAAGATCCGTGGCATCGTCCATGCCGGGCAGCTTGGGCGACCGTTCTGGTCGCGTCGCGCCGCGTCTCGCACCGGGACGGGGTGGAGGGGTCTCTCCTCCCTGCCACGAAAGCAACGCCGCCCAACCGCGGCCGAGGCGCGGCCCGAGCGGCCTGAGCGGCGTAGGCGTTCTTGCGCCACAGAGCGGCGTTCTTCGCTGTGGGTCATGGCACCGGAAAACGTCTTCTTACGGAAAATGGAACAGAATAGACTACCTGACTGACATGGTCAACCGGGCCCGTGCTTTGAGGCTCCGGGTGCCAGGACGAAACCTGGCAATGTTGAAAAATATGTTCTGCATTGGACGCACCACAAGAATCCAGTCTTCTCTTGGTACTATGGCAGATGAAGATGATGAAGAAAGATTCCTGGCGGTGCTGCCCCTGCTTGACCAATCAATTCATTTTGGGATATAGGACCACCCTCCACCCGACAATAGGACCACCTTCCACCCAACACTCAAAGTGGACAATTGTGAGAAGTGTCCACTTCCATGATGGAAAGGAAGGGTGACCCAAAGCAGAAACTCTCTCCCTGCAAAGAAACCAGGCCGGCCTTCGACCCCTATCAAAACTCAGCGAACTCCACAAGCTGCGGCGTGCGAACGTGGCGAGCTCCACCAGGGGATGTGTTTGTTTTCTGTACCATATAGAACAAAACAAATACCGAACGAAACTCTCCACCAGGGTCTACCATCATCTTTACCGGCATGAGTCAGAATCTAGACCGTAGGTTACCTCAGTTTTTCCCCTGGGGCCAAACAGTGGTCGACCTTTCGTCTCAAAACAGGATGTTCGGATTTAAGCGGTTTGTCTCAGTCAGTATAGTATCCTTGATCTAGTTTCCATGACTTCTTCACCTTCCAGCACCTGGTTCTACGGTCTCAACTGAGGAAGTTCCTGATTGTATCGTATACGCTTGGTTTCTACCACGCATCGACCTCCGCTTTCTTTGCTTGTCTTTGTGGAGATTTCTGGTGAACTTTGTCAATTGTACGCGTCATCATGGGGAGAGTGGACGTGGCAAGGCTCTTTCTTTCCAATGCCATGAACAATATGTGGATGTCTTGCACTGGTGGATGAACTACTGGTGGAATAACCACTGTGGTGCAGTGTGTCAGATTCACCAGAGCGATACCAGTCTGCTGGCCCAATGGCTGCGGCAAAAGGCAAAAGAAGACGCAAGGCTTTGAAGGATTGGACGTCCGACTGGAGCAAAACAGCGACACCTACTGTACTAGGCAGGTCATGTCATAGCAGTGTCAACCTTCTTGCTGGAAAACCATTGAATGCCCAAGGAGGCGACCCAGTGGATGAACCCCCCGAATAAAACTCCCCCCCAAAGCCTCGGTGGGTGTTCAGGTCGTATGGGGTCCGCCAAGCGAAGACCGTTCGCCGGAGGCCCCCCCGATCCGGGCATTCCGACCCCCCCAGAACAACCCGTTTCCGAACGGCGCCCGGCGGCGATTCGGAGAGGAGGCCGAAAACCTCCGAGTCAGGCTGTAAGAGGCTGGTATGAAGTCCCTGAAGTCATCATGGATAAGTGGATGGCACCACCCTATCACGACCTGTTTGGGTTTTCGGCCGATTGTGATGCGAAATCGGGGCCATACTATCCACATCACCTTCTTTGCGGTTTCCCATGTGCCTTCACGAAAGCCGGTCGACCCGTCCGCACCCTTTAAAGCGCGACTGCTGGACCGATGGCGCGACTGCTGGGCGGGCCAAGGCCTCAGCCTCAGAACAGAGGTTCTTGGTCAAGGGAAGTATGGCTGAGCCAGGGGTCAAAAAGGGGTGGTTTTTAGTCCCATCCAGTGAGTGGAGTAGCTGGGCGCCCGTCTCCTCCAATAGGCACCCCTTTGTGACTCCAGGAGCATGAATAATTAATGTGTCTTCCAGGCGAACCTAGGCGTCAATCCTTTTTGGTCGGTGAAGCCTCATCCCACGGTGAATCCGTAGTAGACAAGTAGCTGGGTTAGTTGAACCTGGGATCCAAAGGGTTATATGTTTCTTGGGATTATTCCTCGTAAACAATGGGTCTACGAGTACAGTTCGAAAGATAATCATAAAAGTTGCCGCGATCCAAACATAGTCCAAAGTGATCCGAAGAGTTTTTTCAGCAGCTGCAGTGACTAGACCATACAAGACCTAACATGTGAGGCTCGAAATTTGGATGGTCTTTCAAGTTCTTGTGCCGCGATCGCAACCGTGCCTCTTTGGTACATCAGTATCATATGTTGGTTGCCACAGCTTCTTGCAAAACTCGACGGACTGCCCAGAAGGCTATGTCCACTTGTGGGCTGCACCCTTGGAAACACCAAAGAGATCACCATTTGCTGGATGTCCACCCCCAGCCGCAGAAGATGAATTCCAGTACAGCTGGCCTCCCAGCTCAATCAAGCTGTGCAAACTCAATTGGCCATCAGAATCCCTAGATTGGGAAAGTGGACTTGATGCTCCAAATTCTGAGCCTGCTGAATATGAGCATTCAGTTTCTTAGCCCAAACATACCAAAAGCAATATTAATTCTTGTGGGCCATGTCAGTTTGGGTAGCAGTAGCTTGCTGGGGCTCTCGCCCAACTAGGAATCCCCGCAACTCGAGAGAACTCTGGTAGTGTGGTACTGCGGGCCTTGATTGGGCAAGTGTCCAGGAAAAACCGCTCACAGGGCCTGTGGAACTCCAAATCCATGAAGGACGATCACTCTAACATACTGGAAAAAGAACCTATAAAGAAACCTAGTTGATCAATCTGGTGTTTTCTTTAAGCACATCCAGGACCGACCAACCAAACTATAGCACATCCAGGTCCAAAGAACCGAGAGAGTCTCTTTTCGTGTCAATGAGCACCTGGACGCCATGGCTTGACCCGGAGCATGGCCCTCGATGCCGAGGACGATATACGTCGCGCGCGTGACACGCGTGTCGCGTGTTGCGTTGACACGCGGACACGCGCAGGAACTGCTGGAAGGTGCTGGAAGACCTGGGAGGCACTGGCAAAGATTTGCAAATCGATGGTAGAACATGGTAGGATGCACCGTCTCCTAGAATATGTGTACAAACAGATCACGAGGCCTCTCAATAAAAGGACATCATCTCACAGATGACAGCAAGAGGTGACCCATTTTTGCAGGTTAGGACTGAGCATGACATGACCTTCAAGTCGGATGAAAAGAAAGGGTCCACCCGACCGACCAGCTGTGATGGATTTCACTCTGAGAAGACTCCAGGATGCCACTGCCTTGGGCTACCTCTTCAGTAATGTGAGCTTTCCAGGCAGGTGGTTTGGACCGACGTTCTTCGAACCGCGGCGGCGCATGGCCACCAGGCCAGGCGAAGAAAGTCGACTGGCCAGGCACCACCGCCCCAAGAGCCTTCAAGGATTTGAATATGACCTCCCCTGGCCAGGTGGCCAGGCCACTGGTTTTGTTGGGTAGTGAGATTTTTGTCTCTTCAAAACGCATGAATAGATGCAGGGGTTCGATCAGGAAATTTCACGAGGTTGGACCATGTTGGACCCGGAAAGTGTTTGGGAGATTCATCCCGCTTCCTCGACTGACGAATCTCCTGTTTCTCCTTTCGCTGACGCGTGATCCCTCTCTTGCTTTAAGACCCCCAACAAAACGTCCAGCCAAATGAATGCAGAGCCGAGCACATGAAGCATGCTTTACAGATTCCCTGCCTGTCAACTTGTACTTTGTATCACCTTTGTAAAGAGATATCAATAGATAATACAGCCCAAAGCAGAAGAAACCAAGTCACATGAATGAACCAAGTGAGTTGCAAAGCCCTTCACCTTATATACTGTATCTAAAACCCCACCCGTCGCGTCATCCGAAGCAGATCACCGGCTGATCGCTCCCTTCACACCGAACCCATGCGTGACGGACCGACCCGAACCGTCGGAACCGTCGTTCGGCTCGCCAGGGGCGTCGTCTGTCGCTCCGCTCCGTTGCACGCGCGCCACACCCGCCGGGGCGCCGCTCTTCGCGATCCCCTGGGCCAAGTGTTGGTGCCACGGCGTGTGCCAAACTGGCGGGGCGAGATGGGGAGAGATTGGTGTGATGGGGGCGCGGCGGGATGGGGCAACGGCAAAAGCTGGAGGCCAAACCAACAGAACCGATCGTGGATTCTTATGACGAACGGCAAGGTTTAATGAAACGTACCCAGAAAAGACTTGTTTGGTTTGCACATTCTGCGGATGAAGCATGTAAACCTGGCGCTGATGAGTTTGGGGCAGCTTGGGGCTTGCTGCTGTGCTACTGTATGATAGATCAAGAGAAGCCAGGGCTGCGAGCGCGTGTATTTTCCACAATGCTGCATCTTCAACCCACTGGATGTGCCCGGAAGGCAAAGAACTTTGAGACAAAGTAGTGTGTGTGGCTTGCCTCGAGTGTGAGACAAACTTGCAAGAAATGCCTGTGGGAGTGTCTCGAGTCTTGACAGGGAAATGGCTTTTGAAGACATAATGCGGTAAAGAGCAGGACCCAGGCTCTTCAAGGACCAAACAAGTCCTTCTGAAGAACAAGGAAGAGCCTTGCGTAGAGGAAGTGTTCTGAAGGACGACATGACTGAAAGGAGGATGCTTGCAAGGAGATGAGGAGCAGACTGAAGGAGCATAAATCCTGCAAGGCAACGGACTCAGTATCTACCAAAGAACACATGAAGCAGTCAGTGCGAAGTATTTTTGGTAAGGTACAGCACCACAAATATGAAAGGAGTTTGGGGGGAACATGTCACTTGAGTGGGGAGTCGATTTGGCATCAGGACCCAAGAACCTTTAGATGACTAGGCTAAGCATCCAATGGAATCCAACTCCACAAGGAAGAATTAGGACTATATTTACATACATTCATGACGAAATCACGGGTTTCGGGGGGTTCCCTTGCATTGTTTGGATCTGAAGTTGCGCCACCTCCATACGTCACTGACGGCTCACATCTGTCGCCATGTTCGCCCATGTTCGTTCGTCGCATCCGTCTTGGTCCAAGGACCCAAGAGGCAGCCGAGCGCTGTCCAGAAGTGGAGGCTGCGTTGACGGTCGCAGGGCGAAGGAATCCCAGCTGCGAGCTGCTGCACCGTCCCTTGGGGCCGAAGGAACGCGGGCCGAAGGGCCGAACGGAGGAGGTCAGAAGTCTCGGAACCAAAACTCGAAGGTTGTGTGGGTCTGGGGATGTCTGGGGGATGTTGGATGGAAAAAAGGGTATTTGGCTTTAGGAGAGAAAATGTCCCCCGCTAGCACAGCTGCTATTTGGATAATTTGAGTGGATATGTTTCCAATAACTCATCCTTTCACGCAACCTGTTCAAGTGCTCAATTGAATATTCCTATAAGTCTTCACATTCCAGGAATGGATGGGAGAGACTTGCCGGTCAGCTCTATGATAGATGGCGTGGATGCGATCGAAGCCACTCGGGGACTTTTCACTCCAAGTCTTCACCATTTGGACGGTCGATGATACCATCGATGTCTCACCCAAACGGTGTTGATGTGAATCGGTGATGCCAAACGTCGGCAACCCTTATATATTTGTGTTGTTATTGTTGTTCTTGTTCTTGTTATTATTCTTCCTCTTGTTGATGTTGTTGTTGTTGTTGTTGTTGTTGTTGTTGTTCTTGTTGTTCTTGTTGTTATTGTTGTTCTTCTTCTTCTTGTTCTTGTTATTCTTATTCTTCTTCTTCTTCTTGTTGGTGTTGTTGTTGTTGTTGTCGTTGGTGGTGGTGGTGGTGGTGTTGGTGGGGGTGGTGTTGGTGGTGTTGGTGGTGGTGGTGGTGGTGGTGTTGGTGTTGTTGTGCAGTTCCATTGAGGCAGCTCCACTTGGATCGTTCTACACCTCCTCTTTGAGCAGCTTATTTGATCAATGCGCTTAGGGAAGGCCAAAGGATGCATACAAGAGTATCAAGAGTTCCTTTCACTCCATTTTGAGGACCTCAGGATTTCCACACAGAGAGATTCACCCATCAGACCCAGGGCGGAGGGAGCTCCGAAGCGGATGATAGACACATTTGCACGTCAAAACCACAAATCATTACCCAAAGGCCCTTCCTCAGTCGGAAGGCTAAGCAGAGAAAAAGCACCCTTTTTTTTTGGGGGGGGGGCAGAATTCTTTTGGAGGCCGCACTCCAATTCTCCATGACTGGTCCATCATGAATCACGCCAACTCACACTGGATCGTCCAGGGGGCGCGGCCACGCGCGCCGGATCCAACAGCGCCACACCCGTCCAAATGTGAGGGTTCGGTGGTTATTGCGCGCTTGACCGGCTTTGGGGACTCGATTTGGGCCCCTTTTTTCAGGGAAGCGGTGTTTTTTGTTGGGAGAGCCGACGCTTCTGTTCCGCCCAGCCAAAGAAACATGTCGGAGATCGGCCTCATCGGGCAGGAGAGGTATCCGATTGCATCTTTGTCGGACCCCCAAAAGAATTAAAAGAATACACCCCCCAGCTTCGCTTGTACATTCTGCCACATCCTCAACTTGGAAAACAGCTGCCATGCGGTGCAGTACTCTCCCCGTAGACCTAAAACTGAGATCTTTTCGGTCAGAGAGACCTCTCTTTTTGTTTTTTTCGTCCCCAAAACAACATCAGCAGACCCTTCCTCTTCGGTCACCTGGGGGACCCTCCAAGGTCCCAGACTACACCTGCACCTGTGCAGCACGTGCTTCGCGTGACCGAGACTGGGGCGCAGCCATTGATGTTCTGGGCCGAGGAGGAGTTGCAAGAGCTGCGAGGAAGCTACTGGCACCAAGAGACCTGGACGGACGTTTTGCATCTCTTTTTTGTGATGCAAAGTGGTTGGTGGGTTGGGGATTTGGTGGCATAGAGAGGGGTCAAACATGTGTAGCGTCCCAAACCCAAAATGTCAAAATTGTTAATACCTTGTATTTGTAACTTATATCATACACATCAATAATCCTCACTAGCCCACAACAACACACTGCAATATATACCTGTGGCACATCTGGGACCTGATGATTGATGCTCCATTTTTCAGGCTCACCACATTGGCTGGTTTGGATGGCCCCTCTTCTTCCGCCTTTCGACTCGCACTTGCTCGAGACTGCGGCGTGTCTGAGGAGGCGCTGCGACGGAAGGAGCAGCTGCGCTTGGAGTACTTGGAGCTGCTCGAAGCTGAAGAGCGGAGCGGAGCGCCGCGACGGGAGGAAGCGGATGGATCTGTGGGGCTTCTCCAGTCGGTCGTGTCGTTCTTCTTGGACGAAACAAACGCACAAAAACGGTGCCTCCAACGTGCTCGTTGCACGTGTTTCGAGAAAAAATATAGAGAAAACAAAAACCGCCCAAAGAAGCCAAGAAGCCACTATACCTCTTCTCCAAACCCCCTGGCCTTTCCTACTTACTAGGATCGACCCTCCGGCCACTCCGAACCCAAAACGACGTGCAGCTCGACCTCGATTCCGCCCCTCCGACCCTCCGGCCGTTTCCGAACGAAGCCTCGACGCTCTTTTTGTGCGCTCCGATTTCTCGGTTGCTCCGACCCGGTCCAACCGGGCGCGGGCTCCGTTCCAGGCTCCAAGAGGAGCTGGGAGACGAAGTGAGTCAACGTCTCTCAGATCGATGCGTTCGGGGCGGGAGAGGGTGGATCGAGGGAAGACAAAGGGCGGGGCGGAGTTCGGCCGGTGTGGTGGACACTCGGAGCGGTTGTTTTTGGAAGACCATGGTATGAAATATCATTCAAGGGCCCCCCCCAGGGTTCCATTTTACTCGTTCTTCTCGTACTCCATGTACCAGTTAGGCCCTTGAGGAGGCTAGAGATTGGGCGCCGGCCACGACGAGTCTGTCGACTCGAGTCCCGGAGGCGTCAAGACCCATTGGGGTGAGGCCCATTCAAGTCCTCCTTTTTGTGAGGCGAAACCTCTCGGGACAATTCCAGCTACTATTCGTCTAGACGCTCCATGGGTCTCCATCAAGTGGCATCTGACTCTCAACGAAAAGGGCTCAATGTAGGCAAATTAATATCATACATGGAATGTTTTGGATTTGGTTTCTTGGCGGCGCCTTGGCTTTGACTGCGCCATACACCTGGTGACTTAGCATCCGGCGAAGCTCTTGCAGTTGAGGATGGCTGTGTGACCCTTGAGTTTGGCATGGCACTCTTAGGTTTGAAGGGTTTTTACTTATTTCTGACCAGCCCACCATTTGCCCCAAGAGAGCTTCCCTATACAAGCCATGAAATCATGCCTTCTCTCCAATAGATCATGCCGTTTCCCACCCTTCCAGTTCTTGTCTGAAGGACAAAAGGTCCTTGATGGACGGGGGTCACGGACCGTGGTCCTTGAGTCGCTTGATCAGGTTTGGGCCTCTCGGCATCAGGTAGCTCGGCGAAGAGGATGGACGAGGAGGACAGACGGTGGTTTCTGCAGACTTGGCATAGCAGCGATACCGGGGACTGGAGCTGGGCTTTTAAAAGACCTTTGGAACTACTGCATGGGAGCTTCAGAGCACATATACTGTATAGATCTGTATAGTAGATGATGGATGAAAACCAGCATTCCCATTCAATTGTGTGTTGAACGTGTTTGGCGTTCCTGGGCTTCTGGACACAGCACATATTTGTGGCCATTCAATACAGATCGTCCCCCACGGGTCGTGGCCCTGTCATTATCATCACCACCACCACGACTACTACTACAACAACAACTACTACTACTACTACTACTACTACTACTACTACTACTACTACTAC